TGCATTCATTAAGCAATCAATGAACCAGCATCAACTGAGCACCTACCTATTTGCCAGCTGAGGCACTACAATAGGGTGGGGACACAGGAAAAAAGCCAAACCCTCCCTTACTTCACGGAGCTTACAAAATATATTGGGAGAAAGAGTAGCTACAAGGAAGTGCATGTGCATGCTTATGTAAATATGGATTATACACATGCATGTTTACATAGACGAGTGTGTACACATACACTCAAAGTACATAGTAGGTGATATTCCACAGAAGAGGGAGTGGATGCTCACAGCAGAGTGCATCAGCAAAGGACTCATGAAGAATGTGATGCTGCTAGGGTCAAGGATTCCAGGAAGGGGAGGGGAGGAGAAAAAGGCATGAAGGGGAGCCCGTACCGGGACAATGGGAGTAGGTCTCAGGGGCAGTAGGAAGGCCATTTGGCTGGCCTGTGGAGGTATCCAGGGGAATAAAATGGAATAAACCAGGATATCGAGCCAGGAGCCAGGCTGTGAAGGGTTTTGTGTACCAAACATGGCGGTCTCTAGGAGCTTTAGGGTAAATAATCTCTACAACTCTAGCAACATGCCCCAAAGCAAAGCAAGATTCATCATCAATAACAACAACCACCACCACCAGCATTTCTAGAGGCGTTTAAGGTTTGCAATGTGCTGTGCAGGTGGTACCTCATTGGATTCTCATAACAACACTGGGGGGGGCGGGGTTGCTATTATCCTCACTGAATAGATGAGGAAACTAAAACAGAGAGGGCTTAAGAGACTTGTCTTGTGTCTCATACCTAGCTGGCAAGGGTTTGAAGGTATGATTAGAACTCAGATCTGACTGCTGAGATGATACATTTTGGAGGCAGGCTCCAACTGAGAGGATGCAGTCAGTGGTGTTCTTTGCGATGCCCCTCACTGGCATAATTGGTGCCAGCCCTTTGCTGGGGGAGGTCAGGAACAGGTATCTCTAAGGGTCAAACTTGAAAGGACATAGCATAGCATAGGGTCACCCAAAGGGTTCTCTTCCTCTGTGACAGTGATTTCCTTTAAGGAGAAGGTCTGGGGTCATGACTATTTTGCTAGTGTTTTCTGTTCTTTCTTCCTCGGCCAACCCGCACTCTAGTGATGGTGAGGCCCTTCACCATGCTGGTTGGTCTCCTCTGGATGGTAGTCAGCTCATCAATTCCCCAATATTCCAAAGTTACAGCACTGAGTTATAATTTCTCCTGCTACAAGTGATTGTCATGTCTAACATTGCTTTATTAGTGAGAGAAGATTGCTGATTCAGAATACCTTCCAAAACCAATGGCCAGCTGTGGGCACTTGCTAGCAATGTTCATGATGAATAGCATGAGAGGACAAATTTATTCAGACACACATTTTTCAGTCACGGCAGGGAAAATGCTGAAAAATCACCAGTAAATTGCTTTTTGTAAAAATGTTCTCTCAGATTTCCCCCAATATGCTGGCCTTCTTCAGGAGGAGGTCACCACAAAATGAGGGAAGAGGTGGAGAAGGGTGACCATGGAGCTCTGTTCCCTCTATGAGGGGTCAGAGATCGCCATCAGGCCTTTCTCAAGGGCCTGCTGAGAGTCCTAGCAAGAGGTCTCCCAGCCTATGCCCCCAGCAGAACCAACACCCCCACAAGAGCCTCTTGCTTTCCCATCCCCTGTCTCACACACGAAGCCGTTTCCCCCTGCCCCATTATCATACATGGATTCGTAAAACAGGAACAGTTTTTCAAAATGATGCAGAATGATGGACTCTAGATCACAGGATAACAGATTAAACATTGGAAAGGCCTTTACCTGCCACCTAGCCCAACTGACTCATTTTATGGATGAGGAAAAAGAAGAAAGGTTAAGTGATATTCCCAAGGTCACCCAGGCACTAAGTAGTAAAACCAGGCTTTGAACCCCGGTCCTCTCACTCCAAAAACAGTGTGTGCTTTTCTAAAGTACCAAATTAACTTAAAAAAAAAAAAATGGGTGGCTGGAAGAGACTGTGGTTGAAATAATATGTGGAATTAGTTGTGTGACTCTGGAGAAGTCCGTTAACCTCTCTGGGCCTCAGTTTCTTCCTCTGTAAAATGGTACCAACACAGTCAAACCAGCATTACCTACCTCATAGGGTAGTTGTGCAGATGGCAAAACTTTAAGTATAAACCTTGAAGGCCCATAAGTCTAAGTAGTTCTTAATTTCATACTATTACTAATTATCTCATCTCCCTCCCTCCCTTCCTCTGTACATGCACTCAGTCATTCTGGACAGACTTTGCGAATGCCCCTTTCCTCATCTTCAATCGCCTGACCCCTTTGGGCGGCAGGTTTCATCACTCAAACTTTGACTGCCGTTTTGGTACCTGGTACAACAAACGGGCTAAAAACTGTTGAAGCTTTACAATGTGCCAGTGCCACATTTTATATTTCCATCATTTTTTGCTCCCTTAAAGTGACTCATAGCCTCAGAGTCCAAGAGGAAAGACCATAGCAGAGGCCAGCCTCAAAGGGTTCCTCACATTCCTGTTTTTAAAAGTCTCAGAGTCTTCAGACTTGGTTAATTTTCATTATCTTCCAAACTGTTCATCGATCAAGTTGTTTACGTCACAACTTACAAAATGTGTAATTTATCTTAGTCATAAAATAAAATGTTTGTTTGTTTGTCCTGGTGGTTGCCTTTTAAATATCAGGCAAACATCCAAACTGCTGGAAACTTCCCTTGACCTTCTGCTCATACTCTTAGGTCACCAAAAGGAAAAAAAAAAAGTCTAATATGAATAGCCTGTCCGTCATCTGTGCAGACGCTGCATACAGAGCCCAGCTGCAGGCCTGTCCCCCTTCCCCTTAGATTGGGATCTCCCTGAGGGCAGGGGTAGTTTTGACCTCTCTTTGAAACACATCGCTTACTGAACGCATGTTAACTGATTGACTGGTCACCTACTGTGGTCTTTGTGGGTTTTTGGTTTGGGTTACATTGTGTTCTGCAGGAAAACAGGTGGATTCTCTCCTGGTTACGCCCCATGCAGCTTGGGAAAGGTATTTTTCCCATTTTAGATTCATTTCCTCACTTACAAAAAGAGCGAGTTGGAGTAATGATCTAGGCCTTTCCCAGTCCAAATTCTATGGCCTTATGATCATTCCTCATAGTTAAATACCTTGGTGGAAAGAGTTAGACTATGAGTTGAGGGCTGAGTTCAAATCCTAGATACAGCCTGTCCAACTCATTTCACTTTACTCTGCCTCAGTTTCCTCACTGAAAATGGGGATTCAATTCAATTGCAAAATATTTCCTAAGTGCCTACGTTTTGCCAGGCACTTCTGCCAGGCAGTAGAGACAAACCTTCACCACGGGGCCCTTATACTAAGGAGCTCTGAGCCTTAAACCTCAAGAGTCGTTGGAGTCAGCAAAAGCATCGTTGGCTCTGACTAAGCTTTGTCACTGACGGTAGTCACTGCATACTCACTCGTGGGCTTTGAGGAATGGGAATGAGGGAATCAATACTGATGAAGCACCTACTATGTGAGAGGCACTAGGCTAAGTGCTTTACAAATATATCATTTAATCCCCACAACATTCGATCCTGGGAGGCAGGCATAACATTTATCCTCATCTCACAATTAAGGAAACTAAGGCGGACGAGGTGAAGTGCCTTGCCCAAGGTCAGTCACCGAGCTACTAAGTGCCCATGGCAGGATTTGAACTGGGGTCTTCCTGACACAGCTCTTTGGTATTGGATGGAATATGCCACATTTAATCTGTCCGCTCACCACCTTGGCCTCCGCAATCCGACTGGCCGAGCAACCAAGCTGTATAATTCCAATAGCAAGAATTAAGAGTTCTGACTTCTAACTCTTCCAGGGATTTTATTGTCCACCCCAGCAGGAGGAAGTAGGATCTTTGCTGACAATTGCAACACTTAAGTACATCTTCTTGCTTTGAGTTAAACACTCAAGGAAGGTTTTCCATGTGCTTACCACATCTGTGAAGCTGCCTAATAAAAACCCGGCATTTTTACCCGGCGGGCATTCCCTGAGAGGAATCAGCAGCCACCTGCAGCCTTTCAGGCACATTCCATCATCTACTCGGGATGAATTTGCGTGATTAACACAAAGCCTTCAGATTTGGGGGGGAGGGGAGGTGCTGAAGTACAGAAACTACCACAATTGTTTTCATTTTGTAGAGTGACGGGTGAAAAAAACAAAACTGATTTTTTTCGAGGAAAAAATCTTGAAACCCACGAGTGTTGTTTTCCGAGGCTACTCAGCCCTCCAGCCAAGGCTGTTGCTTTCACCCTCACCTCTACCAAAGCGGGAACCCCCCTAGTCCATTCCATAATGTGCATAAACTCCCCAAATAACTAACCTTTATCCATGCCATCATATTGATCAAGAGAACCTGGTAAGACTAACAGCCTCCACATCTTGCCATAATTAGCAACTTAAAATAGCTCTGAAACTCTTGTTTTAGACGCAGAGGTGGAGAGATGTGCGGACTCAAAACTGAGTGCTCAGATACTCTGGTACACAGAAATGGGAATGCTCTTAGAATCCAAGGACAGATTAATCATGTCATGTTCAAGAAAGAGGAAAGTCCAAGTGGAATAAATAGCATTTGGTAGACCATCTGTTTAAAAAAAAAGAGAGAGGAAGTAATACATGAAATGATCATTTCTAAAGTAGAACAAGGAATGTCATTAGCTGCCTGATGAATGAAGTGGGATTGTGTAATGGGGAAACATGCATTGCTATGAAAAGAAAGGTAGTGTAATCCACACGGAAGCCCATGCGAGCATGATGGTCGCAGAAACACCCCGAGCCGGGCCAGTTCAGCTTTCTCAGAAGGCTGGTTCTCCTCCACTTCTCAGTCCGACCTCACCTGTGAATATGGTGTGGTTCTTAATACCTTCCTCTAAAGACAAATGAGTTTTTGCTGATTGTGTCTTTTCTTTCCCCCTTCTGTTCCCTCCGTAACTGAGTTTCTGTGTGCTGTTTTTGAATGCAGGAATCATGGTGAGTAAGGAACCTGGCAAATGCTTACTCACACCTTCAGAAAGCGATGCGGAGCCAGCAGCTTCACTGGCCTTGGAGATGCGATATGCACTGGACGCCAATCGGCAGATCAAGAAGAGAAATAAAGCCCTACAGGTGCGCTTTAAAGACATCTGCGAGGCCCAGAGCGAACAAAGGGACAGACAGCTCGCTGCTGGGCCACCTACGGACAGAAAGGAAGCCAAGCCCATCTCCTATAAAGCGGCTGCTTATCGCAAGTATATGACAGTGCCTGCCCGGAGGTCCATCCCCAACGTGACCAAGAGCACAGGAGTACAGACTTCCCCAGATCTGAAAAAGTGTTACCAGACATTCCCTCTGGATCGCAAAAAAGGAAGCATCATTAAAAGCTCCCAGGCGGCCCACACGTTCAAGAGTCAAAACAATGGATTTCTAATAGATGTCCAGGATCAGAGCGATGGTCAAAACTCAGGGGAGGCTGCTCAGTGCAGCAAGACAGCCGGCGAACAAAAGGCAGGGGACCTGATGGCCCATTCTGATGAACATATGAATGCCGTGGACCGGGCTCCTAGTGACTCCTGTTTAGACTCCTGTAAAAACCCAGATCTGTACAGCTGTGTTAAAGGCCCTCGTCTTCGAAACTCCAGCGACCTGGCTTCTGAGGAGTCTGACCACCAGCCATATGACAAGGCAACCCAAGACAAAACGCTGCCAGAGGCTGAGGATGCCCATCCCTCAGCGCAAGGCAGAGTGTTTAAGACAGAAGTAGCGACTGTTTATTTGCCTGCACCTGGTTCTCAAGCCACCGAGCCCACCTTGCCAAACTCAGCAGCGGAGAGCGAATGGTCTCTGTGCCCGGCCATAGAGGAGGAGAAAAAGAGAACTGGGTATCTGAATGGGCTCCATCCGCAGGCAGAAAACGCTCCAACCTGCCCCACAGAGGCACAGTGCCCATCCGCCGAATGTAACGAGCAGGCCCTTCAGAGAAACGTCTCACCGACGGGTGAGACTCCACCTTGCCAGACGGCTGTGGCAGTGAGCAAAGAATGCCATGAAATTGTGCCTCACACAGAAGTGATAGACTTGAAAGCACAGCTTCAGATGATGGAAAGCTTGATCAGCTCCAGCCAGGAAACAATCAAAGTGCTACTGGGCGTGATCCAGGAGTTGGAAAAGGGAGAGGCTCATCGGGAAGGGTATGTACGCGCAAACGTGTCTTCTGCGGGTCTTAATGCCATGCGGCAATAACTCCCTTTTCTGATCCATGTTGCATTTTAAAAGCCCCAATCACTAAGGAAGCTCAGTGGCCGCTTTCTTCAATGTGGTTAATATGCCTGCGTTTTTTATTCAAGGGTCTGAAATGGCTAGAAACAATGGCATAATCTCTTTCAAACTTGCTTATTTGTCTTGCTTTTTAAAAAATTTGATTGTCCTCATATATGCTGAATGAATCATTTCTCTTTCTTCTTGAACAATTAGCACCTTGGAATTACGACAATGAAGTTATTTACTATATATTAATATGTATGCCCCAAACCACCAATTCTAATTCAACAATAATTTCTCTTTAAGGAATCACATTAAGGAAACAAAAATAAACAATTCTTATGGTGTGGCATGAACAAACATTTTTCATTTCACTTTCATCTTTGCAGCCCCAGGACCTGGCACACTGCCTGACACATAGTAGGGATTTAGAATTTTGAGGTTCCGTCTTCAATATTGCACAGATATATTAAGATATATATATATATATATGTGTGTGTGTGTGTGTGTGTATGTATATATTTTTTTAAGTCTGATGCCATTTCTCCAACAGCAATGATGGCGAGAATATGCCTGACATAAAGGCAATGAAAGTGAATTTGACAAAAAAAGTAGACAGGCCAAACAATGGTTTAACCCAAGGGAGCTGATGGGGCATTATTGATTCTTCCCTGTCCACATGGTCTAGGTAAACTCTACTCCATTTGGTATCTTCTATATTTTTATAGTGTAATAGAACTCTCCAGGAGAGACTTTTTTAATCATTTAAACAAATATCTAATTCCTTTATTTTATTTAAATAAAAATAAAAAATAAAAAAAAATAAAAATAAAAAATAAAAATAAAAAGAGTTAGGAATGGCTTCTAAAGCATAGGAGGCTTCCTTGATGCTCACAGTACAAACCCTTAGCAACATTCTGATGACATCCTGAGCTATTTTTGATGGCAGGAAAACAAAGGGAAAGATGTGAAACTTCATTCTGTTCTACCATAGGCAAATGCTGGCTGAAAGCAGTAGAATGTAAGCTGCTTGCAGTAAGGAATTATTTTGTTTTACTCTGGTAATGTCCAGAGCCTAGGCCACAGCAAATGCTTACTAAATGCTTAGTGGATTGAATTAGGTTCAACAAGTTGTACTGGGAGAGAGGTCAATTCTTGGGGCAGGCTTAAAAAAAAAAAAAAAGGAGGAGGAGAAGAGAGACCGGAAAGACAGCTGGGACCAAGGGATATCTGCCAAAGACCTCAAAAGTGGGCTGGCTGCTGAACTAGGAAGGCGATAGAAATTCAGAGAAAAGCAACCTTGGTGGTAGGGGCTGAAGATGAATGGAGACGTCGGGAGAATGAGATAAGAATTCTTGGTAAAGGTGACATTTACACTCTTCTTTGAAGGAAAGTTAGGATTGGCATCATTGGACAGAGAGAGTGGTCCCAGTCCTCTGGCATCCCTCTTCCTGCCCAATGCCTGTCCCCAACCCCACTGTCCCAATGCCAAAAGCAGTGCAGCATAGTATATGAAGGACAGAGTCATGGCAGAAATCCCATGGGATTCAGAGCTAGAACAAACTTAAAAAGTTATCCCATCTTCAGCTAATTGGTAAAGACGTCGAGGCTTCAAGAGGCCCAGGAAATTGCCCACGGTCACAAAGCTAGTAATTGGCAGAGCTAGGATTGAAACGCAAGTCCACGGTCTCTACGTCCTGGGCTTTTCCAACTATGGTAGGCTATCGGTATGGACACGCATGATGTAGAAGAGGTAACAACTGCTGTGAAGCAGAAGGCTGGGCTTTGTGGTCCAGCTCTGCTGCTTATATTGTATGGGACCTTGAATAAGTCCAAATGACCAGATTATTCTCCCATATCTTCACTATCTATGTCTGTAAAATGAGCATAATCATGTCTGTAAACTATTCTAGCACAGGAATGATGTGATGGAGGAGCAAGTCAGGTCGTGTATACAAAGTGTTTGCAGGATGACTCTGATAAAGATGTTTTTTTGTGTGTCTCCTAAATTACTTGCTTCAGACCACAGAACCGACCAGCAATGCCTTAGGGTTAAAGAGCCGCTATTCAGGACCAACAGATTACTGAGTGGGAAAGAAGTGGGACTGTGCATACATAGTAGGCACTTAACAAATGCTTGGGGGTGGATTCATTGACTAAAGAGAGGTGAAATTTGATTCAAGAAACATTTTTAAGGGTCTACTATATGCCAGCCCCTGGGAATACCAAGACAAATGATATTTTATCTACCCAACTATCTGGTGGGGGATGGGGGAGGAGAATGGAAAAGGAAGATGGCAATATAGCATGCTCCAGGAATTCCAAATTGTAACCCTGAACGCATTTTTCACATATAAATACTGTTATATAAATAGGGAGGTTTCACCTCGAGCATTACATTACTACAGTCTACAGCAGTCTGATATCCTATTCTATCCTACTATCCTTGTTTATCACAGTAGTCCGTATTTCAGGGATCATTCAGCTACATTATGGGATCAAAGTCTTAAGTAAGCCTGAGCAAACAACCGTGCACTAGGCACAAGGATGATGTTAGCAGAAAATCCGGGTATTCATTTCACAAGCACTTAGTAAGGGCCTACTCTGTGCCAGGCACTAGAAAATGCATTCAGATGTCCAAATCACTGTCTTACAACCTTTCCAGAATTCACAAAAAGATTTTAAAAGCAGAATCCATGCTCATTCATTTCTAAATTTTGCTCCTATGAAAAACAGCCTCTGGTGTGTGTGATAGCATGAGTAGCAGTAGCAATAGTAGGTCATTTTACTGGGGGGGGATATTGAGTCTAAGATTTGTCCAAGGTCATAGAACCTGTAAATAGCAGGGCTAAGATTGAAAGCCAGAGCCTTCAGATTCTAAGTCCAGGATCTATGCAGTGAAGCTAAGCTGTCAGTGTATGGGAATACTTGATGTACAAGAAGTACAGGCAGATTAGCACATGGCACCAGAAGATCAGGGTTTGAATCCCAGGTCAACCATTTCAGCACCATGAACAGGGACAAGGAGCTAGCTGGAGGAGTCTAGCCATCACAGAGATAGATTTGTGTTGTGAACTTTTGTGAGAATTTAAGTTGCTCTTAATTTTGTGAACACATTGTTCCATATATCTTGGGGAGGGATGAAAAACAAAGCTTACAGCTTCTTTCTTCCATTACGAATTGCATCTGCTCTCCTTCTTGTTCTACTTGGACTATTCATTAGTTCTCCTTTGTCCAGTCTAACTTAGCATGTGAAACAAACAACCTTTCACCTTGACAAATAATGGCATTTACTTATCTGTCATGTGTAAGAGGGAACAGACTTTTTATACCTGATCACAGAGGGCAAAACTAATTATCCTGGGGAGAAGGTGCAGAGTAAAATCCGGCTTGGTGTTTGGAAAGCCTTCCTAATAACCAGAATTATCCCCAATAGAAATGTGCTGACTCAGTAAGTAGGGAGGTGCCCCTCAAGAGGTGGTCTCTCTTCTAACTCTGGAAGTTTAGGAGGAGTGAACCTTTATTAGCTCTGGGACCTTAGCTCAAGTCAAGACATTTTAGGGCCTCCCATGCAATGACAGCAGGGCACTAGGTCTTCCGAAGGCTCTTTCCTCCTTTCTACTTCTGCTATATGGGTATTCCCTGAACGCCCACACCATAGCTATTTTGAAGAACTGACTTTGCCAAATGAGTCCCAAAAGCCCTGGGACTGCCGCTCACTAAACGTGGAATTATGTTCATTCAATAAATTTGAACCCCTGCTATGGACAAGGCAGGGAGATTGGGTACAGGGGGAGATACAAAGACATTTTTTACCAGCTCTAAGGTAGGCAGGACAATAAATACAGCTAAGGATAGCATTACTTAGGCAGTGGTATGGTATGACTAGATTGGGAGGACTCAGGTTCAAATCTTGTTTTGGTTCTTAGTACTTATGTGACTTTGGACAAGTCGCAATCTCCATGGGCTTCATGTTGCTTCTTTGAAAGAGAGATTGGAATGCTATCCACATCCAAAGAAAGAAATATGGAGTTTGAATGCAGATAGAAGCATACTATTTGCTATTTTTTTCTGCTGTTGAGTTTTGTTTCCTCTTTCCGGTGGTTCCTCCTATTGGTTCTAATTCTTACTTACAACATCACTAATGTGAAAATATGTTTAATAGGAATGTATAGGTATAGCTTGTATCAGATTGTGTGCCATCTTGAGGAGAGTGGTGAGGAGGGAGGGGGAGAAAAATTTTTAACTCAAAAGCATACAGAAGTGATTGTTGATTAATCAAAATTAATTAATTAATTTTTTTGGCGGGGGGGGGAAAGGAAAGAGAAATTGTGCTAGAGGTCCCTGACAATCCCTAAAACTCAAATTATGACATCAGAGTCACTTCTGTTCTTGGGAACTCAGTTTCTTCCTCGGCAAAATAAAGAGATTGATCCCTTCATACCCCAGACAGGCATTTCCAGTGCAAGCCAAGCATGATCATAGGACTTCGGTCTCTATTTGAATATCTTGGACATGAGATGTTCCAGTCCACAAGGCTGGGCTGGGAAGATCATGTCATGAACTTGTTAATTTGCAGTATGGGCATAGCAGGTCAGTCAAGAAAGGGTGAAAACAAAGAGGAAGGAGAAAGACAGTAAGAGAAGGAAGGGTTCCAAAGTTTAGTATTCTTCTCATGCCTTTGATGTGAGACCATAAAGCTTGAGACAGAAGGAACTGTGAGTGTGATCTCTTTCAACCTTCCCACTTTAACGTTGAGGAAATAAAAGGCCTGGGGGAAGAGAGGGTGAAGGGATGGACTTCACCAAGATCACACAGCTTGGGCATAGTGGAGCAGGGGAAAGAATTTCAAGACCCCCCACCTCCAAATCCCAAGTTCCTCCCATGGTGCTTGGCCAAACAGGCTTGTTTTCACCCTTAATCGTTACTT